TGGCCGAGAGGGTCTCCGAGGCGCGTCTCCGCTCGTCGCTGGAGGAGGCCGAGGAGGAGGCGCCCGAGGCCAGTCTGAGGAGCCGACTTTGCCTGCGCTCCATCACCAGGCGGACCAAGTCGGCCTGTTTGGCTCTCTTGTGCAGCCGCTCTCGGGCCGAGAGCGAGGCCGACAGGTCTGAGCCAGTGTCCTCCTCGGAGAACAAGATGGGAATCCGGCTTCTGTACCTGGCGCCCAGAGGCTTCCTAGGGCCCTGCCCGAGAGCGAGGCCGACAGGTCTGAGCCAGTGTCCTCCTCGGAGAACAAGATGGGAATCCGGCTTCTGTACCTGGCGCCCAGAGGCTTCCTAGGGCCCTGCTTCGGCGTTCCTCGGGCAGCTTCGGCCCGCGTGAGGCGCTCGGTCGCCAGAAGAGTCTTTTCCACGCGTGGCTCTCCTGAAACCAACCGGCTAGTTTCTCCCAACTCCAGCGCCAGGGCAGCTTGGCCTCGAAGGCCCGGCCTTTCCTCCAGGGGCTGGGCCACCCCGTTGGGCAGCGTCTCCGCCGTCTCCGAAGAGGTTTCGATGTGATTGGCCGAGAGCGCGCAGCTTTCTGTCTCTCCCCCTTCCAGACCAGAATTCGCACTCCCGTTTTCCACCAAGACGGGGTTCTCCTCCAGCTCCTCCTCAAGGATGATCTCTTCAAACTGGCCCGGGGGGCAGTAGTCCTCCTGCCTCGCCAGCTGGCCCCCGGAAGACATGACGTTCAGGTGCGTCTTCTCGGCGATGTGAACAAACGTGCGCTCCACTTTGGTAAAGGGGGAGGAAGTGGTGGAAACTACCGCCGGAGGCTTTGGCTCGGATTTAAGGATGGAGGACAGGGTCCCGGGCTCGGACACGTCCAGCTGGCTGCCCAGCGGCTGGGGCCGCTCGCTCTGGGGCGTTAAAGCAGCAAGCGTCCCCAGATCGACATCCGGAGCCAAGTCGGTGGTGAGCGGAGACTTCTTCATGTCCCCCGGGGAAAACAACACCAGCGTCTTGGAGCCTTCTTCCAGTTCCAAATCGCCATCGGCCATAGATGCGCGGCCCCTCGACTCTTTCTGATCATCCGCCAGCAGCGTGGACGGCGCCCCTTCCTGGCTGCGCTCGGTGCTCTTCTGACTCACCTCGCTGCTGGAGCTACTGTGCGTGTCAGCGGAGACTTCTTCATGTCCCCCGGGGAAAACAACACCAGCGTCTTGGAGCCTTCTTCCAGTTCCAAATCGCCATCGGCCATAGATGCGCGGCCCCTCGACTCTTTCTGATCATCCGCCAGCAGCGTGGACGGCGCCCCTTCCTGGCTGCGCTCGGTGCTCTTCTGACTCACCTCGCTGCTGGAGCTACTGTGCGTGTCAATCTCGTCTCCCAGATAACCAGCTTCCTCCTCTTCCTCCTCCTCCTCCTCTTCCTCTTCCTCCTCTTCCTCCTCCTCCTCTTCCTCCACTCTCCCGTTCATTGCCAGCCGGGGCTCCGGTGCTTTGCAAGGGGCTGTCAAGACGATGTTTGAGAAGTCGACCTTCTTTATCCGCTGGAGGAGCCGCGGTTTTTCCCTCGAGTCTGATACATCCCGCTTAAAGTCTTGATAAGGCAAATGGAAAGGCACCACCTTCGGCAGACCGTTCATCTCCAAAGGGGTCAGCGCCAACACCTGGAACAAGACAGACGTAAAAGAGAAAACACTTAGTACCCAGAGGGGCGCGGGCATCCGAGTCACAACGTGAGCAACGGCAGGGAGGGCACGTGGCACCGGCCTCTCTTCCTGCCCAGGAAGCAGCCTCCTAGCTCAGGGGCCACGTGCCAACAGGAGTGACCCTAGACAAGCTGCCGGCAACTGGCGCCCTAGGCGAAATGCACGATCGGTGCCCCCGCCTCCATAGCCCTCCACGGCCGTGTATCTCGGAGCCCTAGGCGACCGCCCAGTTCGCCTGTATGGACGGGCCGCCCCTGCCTGCCAAGCTCAGGCGAAAGGCAAAGCGACTCTCTAAAGCCACGTCCTCGGCCTCCCAGAAGCGTCTTGTGTGCCTGGTCCACAGCGTAGCCAAGGCCTCAAACTCACTGCACACAGGGCTGCCTTCCCGCTCGAACGCCAGGCCGGTGTCCGTTCAGGCTGAGTGGCCCCCTCCTTCCACAGAAGATGCCCCCTTGCCTCTCGACCCTGCTTCTAGCACGAGGGTTGCACATGGATCACAGGGCAAACATGGTCTCTCTCGCGTAAACACAGGGTACGTCTACACGACAAGGGCATTTGGAAATAAGCTCGTTCAGAAGAGTAACTCCCGAAATAGCTCAAATAGCACGTCCACACTGCAGGGAAGCCTCGAGATGAGTCCGAGGCCGGCTCCCCTAACGTGGACACGCTACCTCGACGTAGAGCCCAGGAGGCGCTGGGGAGTCATGAACGGCCCTGGGGCGGAGCTATTTCCAAATAGCAGCAGTGGCACGGCCACACTCCCGCTATTTCGAAATAGCCGTCTCCGAAGAGCCGTTATTCCTCGTGGCATGAGGGCTTAGTATTCTGGAATAAGAAGCCTGTTCTATTGCTGTGTGGACGCTCCCCTTGTTAATTAATAATGTCGCAGTGTAGACGTGCCCTTCGTTGTTACTTGTGCGGCGCCTTATTGTCGGACTCGGCCTGGCTTAGTTAGCGCTTCCTTTGCTCTTCCACCCCACCCTCCTCCCCCTCGTCCCTGCCTGTGTCTCATCGGTCTCCTCTTCCCTTCTCCGCAATGGTGGCTTCCTCCCAGTTGCGGGCAGCCCGAGGCCACGTCCGCTTGGCAAGACCCACACCTGGCAGGGAGCGAGCTGGGCCAGAGAAACAGCGCTCAGCGCGAGCGGCCGACAAACCCGGGCCAAAGCGCTTTTGTGGCCCTGGCCACGTCCTTACCTGCGTCACAAAGAAAGGCAACCCAAAGGAACCGTGGCCGAGGGGGTCTCTTCATTGGGTGCTCGGCCCGCGGCTCAGGGCAGCCAGGGAACCTAGGCCAGCGCAGATCAATCATGCTGCAAAGCCCACCCCCGTGACCACGGTCGCACTAGTGCTGTGCTCCCCAGGCGGGCGCTAGGACCGGGAGCAGCCCCCTGGCTCTGAGGGGTACGCACAGGCAAGCTCCCCCCATTCTCTGGCAGGGAGCAGATGAGAACTCGCCTGCCGGGGCCCCTGGGGAGGGAGGGAAGGCGCTGGAGGACGTCTGGCGCTGGAGTGAGTTAGCCGGTGTCCTCACCACAAAGCCCGCGGTCCCAGCCCGAATAAAAGCAGCCATCAAGCTCTGACCCAGCCGCTGCCAGCCTGGGCCCATAGGCAGGGTGCGGGGTGCTGCCACACCCCCAGGTTTTACATGGGGCTCTGCTGCTGGCCCCACACTCGCCCCCAACGGGGACCCCAGCCACAGCCCCCTTAAGCCTGTCCAGCTCCTGCCCTCCCAGAGATACTCATAGACTCATAGACTTTAAGGTCCGAAGGGACCATTTTGATCATCTAGTCTGACCCCCTGCACAGGGCAGGCCACAGAGTCTCACCCACCCCTCCTAGAATAATCCTCTCACCTAGATCTCAGATATTGAAGCCTTCAAATACCTTGAAGGCCCCAAGATACAGAGAATCCTCCAGCTGTGATCTGTACCCCATGCTACAGAAGAAGGCGAAAACCCTCCAGGGTCTCTGCCAATCTACCCTGGACGAAAATTCCTTCCCGACCCCAAATGTGGCGATCAGCTAAACCCTGAGCATGTGGGCAAGACTCACCAGCCAGACACCCAGAAAGTTCTCTATAGTAACTCCTATCATCCCTCCATTGACCTATTCCCACTGATAATGAATGGTCAATTAGTTCCCAAGATCATGTTATCTCAGCAAACCATCCCCTGCATAAACCCATCTAGTTTAATCTTGAAGCCAGATAGATCTTTTGCCCCCACTGCTTCCCTTGGAAGGCCGTTCCAGAACCTCACTCCTCTAATGGTTAGAAACCTTCGTCTAATCTCAAGTCTAAACTTCCTACTAGCCAGTTTATATCCATTTGTTCTTGTGTCCACATTGGTATTAAGCTTAAATCATTCCTCTCCCTCCCTGGTATTTATCCCTCTAATATATTTTAAAAGTGCAATCATGTCCCCCCTCAGCCTTCTTTTGGTTAAACAAGCCAAGCTCCTTGAGTCTCCTTCATACGACAGGTTTTCCATTCCTCGGATCATCCGAGTGGCCCTTCTTTGTACCTGTTCCAGTTTGAATTCATCCTTCTTAAACATGGGAGCATGGGGAAGGGGGGCGGCTTCCAGCACCCCCACTATTCAGTGTCCAGAGCCACTGCCCGGGCTGGACACACCCCGCAACCGGCCGAGCAGCGGGATTTACCTCGGCCCTGCCCCAGCACAGGGCCAGGACCTGGCTGCTAACCTTCCTCCCCATCTAGAGAGCAGGCCGGGGCTGCTGGGCAGAGAAGGGAACCGAAAGGCTCTGCAGTTTCTGTTGCACGTTTGGGGGGGCAGCTCGGGCTTGGGGAGGGGGGCGTTGCACATTTTCACAGCTGGGGTAGAAGGGGGATACACCAGCCCCAGACGTAGATCGGAGCAACCTGAAGGCTGCCCTGGTTTGTGCCCCCTGCTGCCGGGACCCCGCTGGGCACTTTGCCAGGGTGCCTGGCCTCTGCTCAGCTCTAGGAAGCTCCCCACAGTGGGGGATGCTGTGTAGGGGGGATTCCCCGGCCCGGGGGAGCTGCTCCCTGCCAGGAGCCTGGCTGGGGCTGGAGGCCGGGGCCGGCGCTCCAGG